CCTGCCGTACTCCACGAAGTTCGACACGGTGAAGGGTGCGGAATACTTCCGGGTCCTGCACAACGGCCAGGTTCCAGTGTGCAGGTTATGCATAAAGCCGGGTCACATCTTTAGAGAATGCCCAGACTTTAAGTGCCACAGGTGTAATGAGCAAGGGCATTATGCCAAGGAGTGCAGGTATGGAGCTGAGAGAGCGGAGAGAGAGAGGAAAGAGAGAAAGGAGGAAGATGACAAGGAGGGAGAAGAGGAGGAAAACGACAAGGAGGAAGACGAGGAGGAAGACGAGGAGGAAGACGACGAGGAAGACGACGAGGCAGAGGGGGCAAAGAAAAGACTCCATGATGAGATAAGCAGCGAAGATGAAGGTCCAGTGGTGGACGACATCTCGGGGGCTTCGGTGATGGAGGATAAATCACCAAAGGTGGGAAAGAGCAAAAAAAGTGCCAGGCAGGGCGGCGGAGGCGCCGACGGAAGCAGCAGAGGTGCCGAAGGGAGCAGCAGAGGTGCCGACGGGAGCAGCAGAGTTGCCGAAGGGAGCAGCGGCGGGGGAAAGAAGGTTCGGGGTCCCGTAGAGGTGGAAGACGCCTCGGAGGCTTCCGGAATGGAGGAGGGAGAGCTGTCGGAGGACCCTGGGGGCAGCAAGGTCTTCGGGAGCCCAAACGAGAAGCAGAAGGGCCAGGGCAAGAGGAGAAGCAGGTGCGAGGAGGAGAAGAAGACCTCAGCGGAGAACGCCGGGCTGATTGCTAGACGCAAAGCGGACAAGGCGAGGGAGGTGGAGAAAAGGAGAGCGGGTTCGACAGAGGGGGAGCTCGGGAAATAAACAAGCAAAAGGTAATGATGCAAAGGACGTGTATAATAATAACATTCCTTTTGATGGCAACGATCTCATCCCTAAACGGAAACGGTCTAAAAAGTAAGCTCAGAAGAAGCCGGGCGCTAAGTCTGTGTGAGGCCAGCATTATATGTCTGCAGGAAACACATTGGGATGGGGAGAGTGTGGATGAGGTTAAAAAGGAGTGGAAGGGAGAAGTGTTTGCAAATAATGGGAGTGAGCATGCTAGAGGGGTGGCGATACTTATCAATTCGGGGGATGTGAAGAATGTAAGGAAGGTTGAGGATGATGGTGAAGGGAGGATGATTGGGGTGCAGTATGAATACATGGGGGACACGTTTAGGTTGATAAATGTGTATGCACCAAATATAAAGAGGGAGAGAAGAATTTTCTTTGAGGGGTTGGAGGGTAAATGTGGGGGCAACTGTTTGATTGTGGGAGACTTCAATGTGCGGTGTGGAAGGTTGGATGCGCCCGAGGGTGCTCGGTTTATTAGCGACTCCTCGAGGGTGGCACTCAAAAAAATAATGAATGAGAATGGGTTGATAGATGTGTGGAGAGAAAGAAATCCGGATGCAAGAGAATCTTCCTGGAGACGAGTGGTGAAAGATAAACTGATGCAGAGCAGGATTGATTTAGCTCTGTGCTCGGAAGCTGTTAATGAAAAAATTGGAAAGATTGAATATAGGACCACAGCGTTGAGTGATCATATGGTTCTTAGTCTCAGGATGGGGCTGAAGGTGAATGGGAGAGGCGGGGGAATGTGGTGCTTGAATGCAAAACTACTGAATGATGAGGTGTATAAAAAAAGGGTGAGAGAATGTATAAGGAAGGGGGGTGATACAAGGGACAATGATATATTAGTGTGGTGGGGGGAGTTAAAAGAGGAGATCAAGAGAATAAGCATAAAACACAGTAAGGGGAAACATATGTTTGAGAGAAGAAGGGAGGAAAGGGTGAGGGGAGAGTTGGCGAAAGAGGCAGCAAGGATAGACAAAGAGACAGGGAGAGATTTAGGGAGATACACGAGGATCAAAGATGAGCTAGAGGGTATAGAGAGGGGGAAATGCAGGGGGGCGATTGTTAGAAGCAGGGCAAAGAATGCAATGGAGGGGGAAAGGTGTACTGGTTACTTTCTGAGTTTGGAAAAAATTAAGCAGGAAAACAAATATTTAAAACAGGTTGAGGGAAAGGATGGTAGGAAAATAACAGATTTAGTAGGGATAGCAGAAAGAGTGGAGGAGTTCTACAGGGAATTATTTAAGACAGAAGAGGCAGATAGAGAGAGTGTGGAGACGGCGATAGACAGTATGGATAAAGCTTTAGATGATAATGATAGAGAGATGTGTGAGGGAGAGATAGGTACAGGAGAAATAGATCAAGCAATAGGAGGGTTGGGTAGAAATAAGAGTCCAGGGTTAGATGGGTTAACAGCAGAGTTTTACATCACGTTTAAGGAAATGTTGGTACCGGTGCTGCACAGGGTGTTCAAACACATTGAGGAGGAGGATGACCTGCCGGCAAGTATGGCAACGGGGGTTATAAGCATCATTTACAAAAAGGGTGATAGGGACAGATTAGAAAACTATAGGCCGTTAAGCATGCTTAACAATGACTACAAAATATTGGCGAGGGTGTTAGGGAATAGAATAAAGAGGGTGATTAAAACGGTGGTGGGTGGGACTCAGGCGTATAGTGTACCGGGGAGGGATATAAGTGACACGACAAGCAGCATCAGGGATACTATTAAACACATGAAGGGGAGGAAGGGGGGCATAGTAATGAGTCTTGATTTAAATAAAGCGTTTGATCGGGTTAATCATCAGTATTTATATAGAGTGTTAGGGAAAGCAGGTTTTGGGGTTAAATTGGTGGGCTGGATCAAAAGATTATATAGTCGGGCGGTGAGTTGCGTTAAAATAAATGGGATTGTTACAAATGTGTTTAGGTTAGGGAGGTCGGTCAGGCAGGGATGTCCTCTCTCCTCCATGTTGTATGCCTTGTCAGCTGAACCATTAGCCACAATGCTAATACAGAACAAAAACATTAGAGGGGTGGAGATACCGGGGGGACAGACCAGTCTCCTGTACCAGTATGCAGATGATACCACGGTAACGGTCAGAGATGGGGACAGTGTGAGGGAAGTGTTAGAAGTAGTGCAGCAGTATGGCAGGGCGTCAGGGGCAAAGATAAATATAGACAAATCAGAGGTAATGTATATAGGTGAGGAAGGAGTGGATAGGACAGGAATAGGGCTCAAGGAAAGGAAAGATTATTTTAAGGTGCTGGGTGTTAATTTGGGTATAAAGGAAATGGAAGGGAGGGATGAGCAATATGAGGGAATCATCAACAGAATGAAGAAAACGCTAAAGTTTTGGAAGATGAGGCATTTAAAGTTAAGAGGGAAGGTAGTGGTGATAAATGGGCTCATAGTGAGCAGATTAGTCTACATCATGACTGTCATGGAAATGCCTGAAAAGGTTCATAAAGAAATAGACATGGCAATAAATGAGTTTTTGTGGGAAGGGAAGGGCGTTAGAATTGCTAGGGAGGTAATGGAGAACGAGTACAGGGATGGAGGGATGAAGCTGATCAACGTGGAAAGGAAAAAGAAGGCGCTAAGGGTTAAAATGATGTTAAAATATGTTGGTGACAAGGAGGGGAAAAAGGATCATGCGTGGAAGGTATTTTTAAAAGAAGCTATCAATAAGTGTGGAGGCTGTGGTGATAGCGCGTTGTTCATGGCTTTAAGAAAAGAAATGCTGAGCAGTGTGTCGGAGTACCACAGGGAGGCGCTATTAGCATGGGGGGAGTTTCTGAAAGGGGTAAAGCAAGAGTGTGTGAATGTTGAGCAAGTGTGGAATCAGCCTATTTTTATGAACCATATGATCACGGTGCAGAAGAGTCCTGTATTTGATCTCCAAATGTGGAGGGCGGGAATTAGAAACATAAGGGATCTGGTGTATGAGTTTGTGCCGGGGTTCATGGGGGCACAGGTGATAGTGGATGAGGTGAGGGGTAGAGGGGGGTGTATGCCTTTGAGAACGGCGGAAGAAATCTTGGAGAGGGTGAAAAAGGGTTTGCCTGTGGAGTGGGTGAGAATGGTTGAATGTGAGGCGACAAAAAGTGGAGAGAGCGTGGCAGAAATGTATGTGGGGGAAGGGGATGTTCGTGTTAAAATGGAGAAAGTCAACACGAGGGTGATTTACAAAATGCTGAGGGGTGGTAAAATAAGAAGACCTGCTTCTGAGCGTGTGTGGGGAAATGTTTGTGAAAAGTTTGATGGGCGGAAGGTATGGGGTAATTTAAGGGTGAAATGGAACAGCATTGAATGTGAGCATTTTGATTTTATGTTTCGTCACAATAGGGTGTACAACAATTTGATCATAAGCAGGTTTAATATCACGGTGAAGAAAGAGTGTGATGTGTGTAAGGTAATGGTGGAAACGTGTATGCATGAATTTTTTGAATGTGGAGAACTGAAGGTGTATTTTGAACGGTTGAAAGGGCTAATTGAAAAGTGTTGGGGGGATAGAATATTAAAAACGCTGGAATGGAAGGAGTTGTGGCTGTTTGGGGTGAGGGGGGGAGTGAAAGGTCCCAATGTGAATCTCTGTAACTATGTGCTGAGCCATGCCCGGTATGCTGTAAAACTTAGGAGAGACTTGGCCCATAAAGGGAACAGAAAGGTAGACGCATGGGACGTATTTAAGAGGATTTTAAGCAAGGACGTTCAGATGGCATATGTGTACCTAGAAAAGGACGCTTTTCTGGAGAGCGTTGTGGATGGGTGCACTCTGGTGGAGGTTGGTGACAATGACAGACTGGTGTTTAAGTATGACAGTGTTGGAAAACATGTGTAGGGTGAAACGTGAAAAACGTAAAGTATGTTTTATATAAATGATTGCCGGTTTGCTGTGTTTTGTTTCTCGTATTCTGTTTTTGTATTATCATTTACTATGATGTTCAAGTAAGATCCAATGGTTTTTTGGCAATCTTTTCTTTTGGCTAATTGCATTCAGTTTATTTCTTTTATTTTGTCATGTTATGCATGACTATTATGTTTGATTGTTTTAAATGCAGGGCCACCGTGAAACCACATGTGCAAATTGTAAATATTGAATTATGAATTTTCTAATAAAAAAAGACAAAAAAAAAAAAAAGTGAGTTTGATTTTACAGAATGGGAAGCCTATGAGCACCTATCACAGCTGTAGTATTGGTTGTCACAGCACCTGCTGATGCTCAAATAGTTGCGGCAAAGAAAGTTATCATCTTTTCACATTACCAGCAGTCATGTGCAACAGGATGATACGCAAGAGAAAAGGCGCTGGTGTTTACCTGGCTGCAGCTGTTATTCTGACGTGTTATTTTGCGCAAACTTTAGACTGTTATCGTCTGAAGAAAACAGAAAGACGAGAAGGGAGAAAAGATGCCGATGCAACAAATGGGTTCCAAGAGGGGACAATTGTTTTCGGGAGAGCTTTTGAAAAAGGGTCAGGTCTTGATTCTCAAGTCACAGACGGGACCAATAAATCATCCTCAAACGCTTATGAGGAGGATGAAGGTGATTATCAAGCAGACGCTGCAGGTAAAAATATTTTGATTACGTATTGAAGGGTTTGTTATTTTTGCTTGAATTGTTTTGCATCTCTTTAAAGTACAAACTATTTAAAAATATGTATATTATATTCGCCTTCAGGTGGGATGAGCCCAACACAAGTGGCCAGTCCCCAAGACTCATCATGGAAGAGCATGTCGCCCTCACTGCAGTGTGGTTCGGGCCAGTTGAAGTTCAGAGCGGTGGAACCAGGAGCATCACAATTTGCAGTAGAACAAGGTAAATCAATAGCCATAATATCCTAAATGTAGACTTGATTTATCTCTACCAATGATATAAACACTGAACCTTTTTACCCCACAGGAAATGCACCTCCAATGCCTCTGTCCCAGGTCCCGTCTACCTGTGGCTACAGCATGCAGAGGAACTCACATGCACTTGTCATGTTGGTTCCCTATGATGGCTGCAACATGGTTCAAGAGGTAATGTTAAACTGATTTAAAGAGTGAGGAAGTGAGTTTAAAAAAACGATGGCTAGTGCTGTGAATTGTTATAGTTATGAATGGTTTAACGAGAGCCAAATAAATTAAATGTTTAATCTGCATCATATTAATCTAAAGCGAAAATGTGTTTTCAGCTTTTCAAATGAGTTGTTTTTCGCTTGCTTTCAAATGTACTGATTAACTATGTTTTTTGGATGGGGACCGACATTCAAATATGTTGCATCATGATGATCTATTCAGAAGATATAGCATGAGATTAATCTTTTGCCTTGTACAGTCGGATTGTAACATTGACAGGTTTGTGTGATTCCTTGCTGTTTCTAATTGTATGTTTTTCTCCCAAAGGGTGGAAGTTATGTACTCCCGATGCGTTGGCAAGGAATTCCAGTATCTCTCTGGTGTTCCAAACCTGCCTCAACTCCTGCTTCCAAAACGACTTCCCCCAATTCCCCTGTAGCTCAGATGCCTCAATACCCTCAGATTCCTCAATTCCCTGATATACCACAGATGCCTCAATTCCCTGAGATGCCTCAATTCCCTGAGATGCCTCAGATGCCTCAATTCCCTGATATACCTCAGATGCCTCAATTCCCTGAGATGCCACAAAACCCTGGGAGGCCTCAATTCCCTGGGAGGCCTCAATTCCCTGGAAGGCCTCAATTCCCTGAAAGGCCTCAATTCCCTGGGAGGCCTCAATTCCCTGGAAGGCCTCAATTCCCTGGAAGGCCTCAATTCCCTGGAAGGCCTCAATTCCCTGGGAGGCCTCAATTCCCTGGGAGGCTTCAATTCCCTGGGAGGCCTCAATTCCCTGAGAGGCCTCAAAACCCTGAAAGGCCTCAAAATCCTCAAAACCCTGAGATGCCTCAATTCCCTCAAAACCCTGAGATGTCTCAATTCCCTCAGATGCTTCAATTCCATCAAAACCCTGAGATGCCTCAAATCCCTCAAAACCCTGAGATGCCTCAATTCCCTCAAAACCCTGAGAAGCCTCAAAACCCTGAGAAGCCTCAAAACCCTGAGAAGCCTCAAAACCCTGAGAAGCCTCAAAACCCTCAGATGCCGTTTCCACAATATATGCCGATGTATCCTGCGTTTAATCCTCTTTATCCTCCCAAATATCCAGCTACAAAGCCAAAACCTACTGCGACAACACCAACTACAACTAAACCAAAGGCTAAAAATCCCTCATCGCAGCTTCCACCATCTATGCCTTACTATCATCTTTACCCTATGTCCCCTCCCTATCCCCAATATCCAGCCACTCCAGCTACCACTGTGAAAACAGATTGCCCGCCCACTCCGGCACCCCCATCCTCCTTTTCATCCCCATGTTCACTTGCCCATACCAATGCTGCCTCCTTTTCCTCCTCCACGCTACCATACTTAAATAGTTCTAATAAAAGTTTTGAACAGACGATTTATAGTTTGTGCTTTTGTTAACCTTCAACTACCCAAGAGGCTTTTTATTCCAGGCTCTTCAAGAAGTCTCATTTGGTTTGTGAATGAGTGAACAGTCCATATTGAGAAATGACATTTCATTTAAACAGAAAAATTGTGCTGACAAATTAACTTAAAGTGCACACTTTAAATTCCTACATTTATAAATGTAATTAATGTTTGGCATTTGAAGTGTTGTCATAGTGTGGCTTTGTGTCCACATGGTGGCATCATTGCTCAACCATTTCTTAGTAGGTTTTGAATTGGAACATTTTGTGTTCACACTAGCTTTCCTTGTGTGAACAAGCTTTAAAATGGTTGTTTTTTTTGAAAACGTATTTCAGTCAAAGGTAAAGTTCCATCATGTCATTTCCTAAAATACGTAACATAATGCTGTGTGAGGGACGCTGGCTTCACTCATTACATACACCAACACTGAAATGGAGCATTTACAACTTTGGGCAGTTCTGCAAAACATTGAACCTTCAGCATTTGTCTCTTTTTGGTTTTGTAAACAAGCATTACTAAATGTTTGGTCAAACACTAGGTCATAAGTGTTCAAACTACACATGTAGCTGTTATATTTATAAAAGTAGCCTTCATACAACTAAAAATGACTTAAAAGGTGAGATCCATAACAATTCAAGTGAAATGTCAATGATAGAAGCAAAACCTTTTATCATACAGGGTGTCCTTAACACCTGTGTATTGTGTATTTCAAGTTATGGATCTGTCCATGAAACGACATCTCTGGTCCAAATCAGGCTGGGACACTGATACATGTTCACCATCCCGTTACCGTCTGATTGACTTTCCTTGATGTGAAGATAAATATGTTTTCTAAATAAGGGAGAGCATTGTTATACTAATAATTATTGTGTGTCAATGTAGATTAACAAATCAAAATAGTCAGACTCTTCGCTTGCATTCATTGGTTTGTTATCAAAATTAAACGGTATGATATGCTGCCAGACGTGAGTGCCGGCAGGCTGAACGCAGGTGGAAGAAGGACAAGCTTCATGTAACTCGTGACATTTTGAAAGAGAGTTGGAGAAAGTATCGGAGCACTGTAAAAGCTGAAAAGATCAGTTACTTTTCTGATATTATTTCTAGTAATTTAAACAAACCTTGTGTTCTCTTTAAAATAATCGATGCTATGTTAAACTCTCCTTTATCCACTTGTATTGATGCTTCAACTGAGATGTGTGAAAAATTCCACTGCTATTTTATAGACAAGATCTCCACTATTAGAGCCAGTATCTCACCACCCTCTTTTGACCCCTCCATTGACTTCACATGCACTGCTGTCTTCCAGCAGTTTGGACCTGTGTCGTTGTCATCTCTCAGTGACATTATTGCTAAATTAAAACCCTCATCTTGTCCGACAGACCCAGTCCCTCCTCGACTTTTTAAAGAGGTATGGGACACTATTGGACCTAATGTCCATAACATTATAAATAGCAGCCTAGAGTCCGGTTCTGTTTATTTCAAACAAGCAGTTGTGGCACCCTGATAAAGAAAACTAATCTGGACACTTCTGTCTTCTCAAATTACAGACCCATCTCGAAGCTTCCTTTTATTTCAAAGATATTGGAGAAAACCGTACTCTTACAGCTACAGTCTTTTATACATGCACACAATATTTTCGATATTTTTCAATCCGGTTTTAAAGCGCTTCACAGTACTGAGTCTGCCCTTCTAAGAGTATTCAATGACCTCCTGGTCACTACAGACACTGGTGACTCTGCCATCCTTATGCTCTTAGACCTCACAGCTGCTTTTGATACGATTGACCACTCCATCCTTATCTCTCGTCTAGAGCACTGTGTGGGTATCATGGGCACTGCCTTAGAGTGGTTCAGGTCCTATCTGTCCAAGAGATCTTTCTCTGTTACGCTTGGTGACTTTACATCCTCTTCTGCCCCCTTATCCTGTGGAGTTCCCCAAGGTTCTATTTTGGGGACTATTTTATTTTCCTTATACCTTCTCCCCCTTGGACTGATTTTTAGAAAACATGGCGTCTCCTACCACCTTTATGCGGACGACTCCCAATTATATCTACCCCTAAGAAAACAAAAACACTAGCTCTCTGATGCCCCTGGTTGACTGTCTTCATGACATAAAGGCCTGGATGGCGCTAAACTTTTTAAATATAAATGAGAGCAAAACGGAGGTAATTGTGTTTGGACCAAATGGTGATGTCCCTTCCATTGACCTGGGTTCCCTGCAACAGTTTGCAAAACCCATGGTCACAAATCTCAGTGTCAAAATCGACAGTGCTTTTAAATTAGATAAACAGATAAACTCTGTGGTTAAATCCAGTTTTTATCTCTTGAGGCTCCTGTCCAAAATTAAACCGGTTTTATCCTTTTTAAACTTTGAGCATGTAATTTATGCCTTTGTTTCAACTCGTTTAGATTATTGTAATGCACTTTATGCCGGCCTAAATAAGATTTCGCTGGCCCGCCTGCAGCTTGTACAAAACGCTGCGGCGCGGCTGCTTACAGGAACCCGCAAGTTTGTCCACATCACACCAGTTCTGGCTTCGCTCCACTGGCTTCCTGTCCATTTTAGAGTCCATTTCAAGATGTTATTGTTTGTTTTTAAATCTCTTAATGGGCTGGCCCCAGAGTACATCTCCGACCTCTTACAGGTGTACACCCCCTCAAGGGCTTTGAGGTCGGCTGATCAGCTGCTGCTTGTAGTCCCAAAAACAAACAAAAAAGACCAGGGGAGACCGAGCGTTCTCATCGGTAGCCCCCAGGCTCTGGAACGACCTGCCCCCTCAGGTTAAATTGTCGCCCACTCTTGACGTTTTTAAGTCCTGCCTAAAAACTGAGCTATGTCTTACCTATTTGTATGCTTTTACTGTCTGTCCATAGCCTTTATGTGCCTTGTATTTATTCTTATGTGTTTAGCAGGTCTCCCTTGTAGAAGAGTTCAATGATCTCAATGGGATTTATTTGGATAAATAAAGGTTTAAAAAATAAATTAAAAAAATGTGTGCTTTTTATCTATTCGTGTAATATTATATTTTATTATAATGTTATGTTCATTATGAAGCACTTTGGCAAACCCTCTGTTTTTAAACTGTGCTATATAAATAAAGTGGATTGTATTGGATTGGATTGGATATCCAAAATTATGAAGAACCAAGAATCGGGGAATATTTTTATCAATCAATCAATGTTTATTTATATAGCCCAATATCACAAATGTTACATTTGTCTCAGTGGACTTCACAGTTTGTACAGAATATCAGTATGACAATACAACACCCTCTGTCCTTAGACCCTCTCATCGTACAAGGAAAAACTTCCGGAGAAAACCCACAGTTTAAAGGGAAAAATGGGAGAAACCTCAGGGAGAGCAAGAGAGGAGGGATCCCTCTCCCAGGACGGACAGACGTGCAATAGATGCCGTGTGTAAATTGAAAATATAATACATTTGCAACATAGGTAGTCCAAATGTTTGGAAATGCATGTGTGTATAATAGGAAGATTAATCCATGAGGATATCCATCCAGGACCTATGATCCAGGACCACAGCCACGACTCAAGATCCAGGGCTCGCGATCCAGGACACAGGACTGCAGGATCATCCATGACTCCGGATCCCGGCGTATATAGACACCAAAAAGAAAGACATTTGGGGAAGCTGGGTTAATCGGAACATGAGAGTACACAGGTATAGACAGAGAGAAGGAAGAAGTAAGATGTCCCCCGACAAACTAAGCCTATATCAGCAAAACTAGGGGCTGAATCTAATCAGCCCTAACTATAAGCTTTATCAAAAAGGAAGGTCTTAAGCGCACTCTTAAAAACGGATAGGGTGTCTGCCGCCCAAACACAAACTGGAAGCTGATTCCACAAATGTGGAGCTTGATAAGAAAAGGCTCTGGCTCCTATTGTACTTTTAGATACTCTAGGAACAACCAACAACCCTGCATTTTTGGAACGCAATGCCCTAGTAGGACAGTAGGGTATAATGAGTTCTTTAAGGTAAGATGGCGCCTGCCCATTAAGGGCTTTGTAGGCGAGAAGAAGAATTTTAAATTATATCCTGTGTTCTATAGGGAGCCAGTGTAAGGCAGCCAGAACAGGAGTAATGTGGTCCCTTTTCCTAACTCTGGTTAGAACACGAGCTGCAGCATTTTGAATCAGCTGAAGCGACTTGACTGACTTCTTGGTACACCCTGATAATAAGGAGTTACAATAATCCAGCCTTGAAGTAACAAATGCATGGACTAGTTTCTCTGCATCGTTTTGAGGCAAGATATGCCTGATTTTTTAAATGTTACGTAGATGGAAGTAGGCGGTCCTTGAAATTGATTTTATGTGGGCGTTAAAGGATAAATCCTGATCAAATATAACACCAAGATTCCTTACAGTCTCACTGGAGGCCAAATTAATGCCATCCATAGTTAGTATATCTTTAGATAATTTGTTTCGTAGATTCTTCGGAACAAGTACAATAACTTCAGTTTTGGTCGTGTTTAAAATCAAAAAATGTAAGGTCATCCACGTTTTTAAGTCCTTGAGGCAGTCTTGAATTTTATTTCGATGATTAATTTCATCAGGCCTGATTGATAAATATAGTTGAGTATCATCCGCATAAAAATGAAAGTTTACAGAATGGTTGCTTATAATATTGCCTAACGGAAGCATATATAATGTGAACAAAATAGGTCCGAGCACTGAGCCCTGTGGCACTCCATGGCTAACTTTGGTTTGCGTGGAAGATTCATCGTTGACACGTACAAACTGAGAGCGTTCAGATAGATAGGACCTAAACCAGCCTAAAGCAGTTCCCTTTATTCCAACTAAGTGCTCTAGTCTTTGCAATAGGATATCATGGTCGATAGTATCAAATGCAGCACTGAGATCGAGCAAAACAAGAATAGAGACAAGTCCCTTGTCTGAGGCTATTAGAATGTCATTTGTGACTTTAACCAGAGCTGTCTCTGTGCTATGATGTGTTCTAAAGCCAGACTGAAAATCTTCAAATAAATCATTGTTTTTTAAGCAATCACACAGCTGTTTTGCGACTGCTTTCTCAATAATTTTTGAGAGGAACGGAAGATTAGAAATAGGTCTATAGTTGGCTAAAACCTCTGGATCGGGGTTGTGCTTTTTAAGAAGCGTTTTTATCACTGCTACTTTGAATGATTGTGGAACATAGCCTGATAATAAAGACATATTCATAATATTTCATAAAGAAGTGCTAATTAATGTAAAAACTTCCTTCAACAGCTCAGTTGGAATTGGTTCTAACATGCAAGTTGATGGTTTAGAAGAGAGAATCATTTAATTTAACTGTTCAAGGTTTATGGCTGAAAAGCATTCTAGTTTACTTTCTAGTGTAATATTAGAACTTACGTTTCCGGGAGCTGTTGATAACACTATACTGGTCAAAGGCAAGAGGTCATTAATTTTGTTTCTAAGAGTAACACTTTTATCGTTAAAAAAGCACATAAAATCATTACTACTGAGTGCTATGGGAATAGAAGGCTCAATCGAGCTATGGCTCTCTGTCAGCCTGGCTACAGTGCTAAAAAGAAATCTTGCATTATTCTTATTCTCATCTATTAATGAAGAGTAGTAGGCTGCTCTCGCTTTACGCCAGGGGTGCCCAACCAGTCGATCGCGAGATGTGTCTAAAAATAGAACAACAATATTCTGTTTTATCGTTAATGTCCTGTAACATAATCTTCTTGTGACAAAATAATGCACTTGAACGCATCAAAGCTTTGTGATTGGCCGGCGTGACCCCATGTGTCGGGGCGTGGCTGGTGAGCAGTGGGCAGTGCACTAGTTCGCTAACGTTGTCCGTGTCAACAGGAGTGACAGTCCGCACACACACAAGACTGCAATTATGGCAGAAGCAAAACATATATAATTTTCACTCCGAGTGGGAGGATGATTATTTTTGTATCTATTCCAATTCAAAGTCCATCTGTCTCATCTGCAATGCGAGCGTGGCTTTATCGAAGAAGGGTAATTTAGGAGCGGCATTTCAAAACAGTGCACAAACGCTACGAGACGGAATTCCCTCCTAATTCTGCCCTACGCTCCAAAAGGTGAGGGACCTGAAAGGACAGCTAAATGCACAGCAGTCCATTTTCACCAGGCCCAACAACAAGAGCAAGGCTGCCAGCAGAGCATCTTATCGTGTCAGTCACGTTCTTGCGAAACACATGAAGTCTTTCAAAGACGACAAAGTTGTGAAAGAAGCATTCCTGGAGGCTGCCGACGCGCTTTTGGGCGACAGTAAAAATAACAGTAGCATTTCTACAGGTTTTCGATATGATAAAAACTCAAGTTAGATACCATTATTAATCAGCTGTAAGTTTGAGTTTGTTTGAACTTATTCATTATAATTATTGTACAAAATGGTATAAGAATGCAAACTTAAATTGATTATAGTCTATTATCAATTCAGGTTAAGAAACTAGTGTTGCTTGCATCCTATTTTAAAGGCATTTATTTTTATAATCTACTAAAATGCAACAAAAAAAGGGTTTGATTCTATTAATTTTGTCTTTTTTATTGCACTGTTGCAGCAGATTCCTGTGTAGCTTCAGATCTGAGTTGTCTTATTAGTAAGCCTAATTTATACTTTTGTAGCAACACTATTTTTATATAATGGCAAAGAAAGGGTTCAGAGTCTTTTCTTTTTTTCCTGTGTCATATGTGGCAGCACTGTTCAATGTTTCTTGAAAACATTACCCACTGTAGTATGTGACGTGTGAATAAACTCCAACTCTGTATCAACAACACTGTTGTGTAGCTTCAGTTAAATACTTGTATGTGTGTAGATTAGAAAGAGGTAAGATAAAGGATCTGCAGTATTTTATGAAGTATTAATCGTACAAAGGTCAGTTTTATACAAGTAGAAGTGTGTATTTACCTGGTAGTAGGCTGTCAGTAATGGCTACGCCTCTCTATTTGGACTGGTAGATCTCGGCAGACTGGCAACTTTAAAAGTAGCTGTCGGTTCAAAAAAGGTTGGGCACCCCTGCTTTACGCAGTGCTTTCTTATATTCATTGAGAGTAATATGCCAAATTA